CAGCGCGCGGCACTGGCAGACTGGCGTAGAAGAGCCTACTGCAGGGTGTGATCATCTGTTTCGCCCGAGCATGACATGGTCCTTCGGGCTGAATGATGCAGCGTCGCAGCTTCATTTGGGGGTTTACGCAAATAGGGGTACCTTTTTTTTTTTTTTTTTTTGGGGGGGGGGGGGGGTTCCTTTCAAAGGATTATATAGTATTTTGGGGGTAAATAAGGGGTGCCCCTATCGGAAATCCCCTTTGTCCTAAAACGTGCCCCTCAACTCTGTGAATTCAGTCGCTTTGTGCTTCATTGGTCTGGGCGGAGCTTCGCCTTGTACTTGAATGGCAAAGGAAAAACTCAGTGCCATGCAAGTGCTGGAAACTACGGTTGTGGTGTTTTTGTTTTGAAGTGGCTCCCCAAGCCCCAAACCTTAACACCCACATAGCCCCCAAATAAGGGCCTCCGAACATAGGGGTACCCTGTTTGGGGCTCCTTTTAAAGGGATTCCATAGCATCTTGGGGGTATATAAGGAAACCCCCGCAGTTCCTTTAAAGGGATTACATAGCATTTTGGGGGTATAGAAGGAAACCAACGCAGCCCTGGTTGCTGAGGCCCCACAGTTGCACTGAGGATGGCACCTGTGGCGGCTGCCGGTGGTGCACCTGGCGTCTGCTGGCTCTTAGGGCTCCTTCTACAAACAGCTCCTGAAGAGGGAATCGGTTTAGGGTTTTGGGGTTAGGGTTTAGGGTTTAGGGTTTAGGGTTTAGGGTTTAGGGTTTAGGGTTTAGGGTTTAGGGTTTAGGGTTTAGGGTTAGGGTTTAGGGTTTAGGGTTTAGGGTTTAGGGTTTAGGGTTTAGGGTGTAGGGTTTACGGTTTACGGGTTTCGGGTATTCGAGTACCCCCTATAAGAATCCCCATTATGGACTGTCAGCATCAGCGGGGGCATCCCTAGGCTTGGGTGTGTAGGTGTGTAGGTGTGTAGGTGTTTAGGTTTTAGGGTTTAGGGTTTAGGGTTTAGGGTTTAGGTTTGAGGTCTCTTGGCAGCAGGAGCCCAGTTCAATCCCCACGTGAGGAACAGGTGCCGGCTTGGGGTTCAGGGCTATGCGGCTAGACCCTAAAGCCTAAACCCTAAACCCTAAACCCTAAACCTCAATACTTTTGTTTTTCAGGCTTGCACTTTGAACGAATGAACGAAATATGCAGCTTAATATGCCTCATGCTTTAATATCCTGAGGGCTGGCGGCTTCGGGATGTGCATGCGAATGCCATTCCTGGCACTCATCGGGACTCTTCATCAAGTACCCCAAGCCCTTTACACAACCATTTGCTACCCCACCCCTCCCCCCCCCCCTTTAAACCCTAACCTCCCCTAAGACTCGAAAACTTTGCGTGATTTTTTGGGCTGTAGCACCCCCCCCCCCCCTGTTAAACCCTAACCCCCTAAAACTCGAAAACTTTGCGTTTTTGGGCTGATAGCAGCTTGGGGTTCAGCCAGAAACCCAAGAGTCCTCGCAGCGTCTCCCGCAGCGTGTTGGGCCTCCGCTTCTTCGCAGCTCCGCCCCCCCCCAGCCCACTGGCAGTGGCGATGGCCAAGGCCATCTATCGGGGGGTTTAGGGTTTAGGGTTTAGGGTTTAGGGTTTAGGGTTTAGGGTTCACGGGCCCCGAGGCCCCAAGCCTGAAGCTAAGGAACCTAAACCCTACACCTGCCCTCACAAAGTCCCTTAAAGGCTAGAAAGCCTACAATCAGCCCCCCCCCCCCCCCCTGCAGCCTTCCTAGGCAGGATAAGGGGGAGCCTTAAAAGGGAAGGGGAACCCTCTCTCTTAAACACCTTATTCGTTTTAGGGGTCGTCCCTCCGTAGCCAAGCATGGCGGAATTACTTCTGAACTTCGCTTCGCTGTGAGCATGACCATCCTCAAGCAAAAATAGCCATCTCTAGGTGAGACGGCATCGCTCTTTTTCCCTAAGCCCTAAACCCTAATCCCTAAACCCTAAACCCTAAACCCTCAACCCTAAGCTCTAAGCCCTAAACCCTAAACCCTAATTTGTGGGAATTGACATATGCCGATGTCGAACATTTCAGCGTCGGGGTTTGGGCGTCGAGGGCTGAGGGGCTGAGGGTTTCGAAGTGTTGGTTTTGAGGCTCGTGACCCGGAGCCTGAAACAAAAGCGGTTCTCAACACCCCTAAGACCAGACTCACGCGCAAGCATCCCTAAACCCCAAACCCGAAACCCTAAACCCTAAACCCTAAACCCTAAACCCTAAACCCTAAACCCTAAACCCTAAACCCTAAACCCTAAACCCTAAACCCTAAACCCTAAACCCTAGCAGGTCCTGGTTCCTGTGGCAGATGGGTCCGAGGAGTGAGACTTTGAACGCTTTCAGGGGTGGTTGGGGCGGTGGTGGGGGGTAAGGGATGCCATTAGATCGGTTCATGGTACTTATGAACCAGTTGTAACTGTACTTATAACCCACTTATAAGCCCCTTAAGTGCCCCAATATGGTTATAGGTACAGATATAAGTACAGTTATTTTTGGATAGAAAGTACCATGAACCTCCAAGGATGAGTTGGGATGTTGCCCCTTATGCTAACAGTCCTTCATAGGGATTAGAACAGGGGCACGTTAATCCCTATTAAGGAGCTGTGAGTATAGGGGGGAACATCCCAGCCTTATGAGGTCTAGTTCTACTCACCTTCTTGTAGAGCCCAAACCCTTTCCCCTCAATAGAAGGGAGATCTTTTAACTTTCTCTAACTCCGCACAGGGCTTGGCCCCGAACCTTGCCCGCCCGTGAAAGTGCTACGCAGCAACGGCTCCTCACCGATCCTAAACCCTAAACCCTAAACCCTAAACCCTAAACCCTAAACCCTAAACCCTAAACCCTAAACCCTAAACCCTAAACCCTAAACCCTAAACCCTGCTCCAAACTGGTGGCGGAGCCCCACCCTGCTCGGAGAGTAGCGGTCAGCTCCAAACCAGTGGGACGGAGCAGTGTCTCACCCCACCCTGTGACCAAGTCACCCTCAAGCCCAGTATGCTCCCTCATCCTAAACCCTAAACCCTAAACCCTAAACCCTAAACCCTAAACCCTAAACCCTAAATCCTAAACCCTAAACCCTAAACTCTAAAACCTAAACCCTAAACCCTACTTCTCACATATATCATCGAGCCTACTTCTCATATATATCATCGATCCCGGTCGTAAGCAAGCAGGCGTTAGGGGATGAATGAGGTTCAGGCTTTAATGAATGAGGTTCAGGCTTTAGGGTTTAGGGTTTGGGGTTTAGGGTTTAGGGTTTAGGATTTAGGGTTTAGGGTTTAGGGTTTAGGGTTTAGGGGCGTTTAGGGGGCTTTAGGGCAGTTTAGGGTTTGGGGTTTGGGGTTTAGGAAAGTAGGGTTTAGGCAGTCTCTTTCAGGTCCCCTGGACTTCCTCACTGATGGCTCGAAGTACCGGCTGAACCCAAGACCCTAAACCCTAAAGGCAGTGCGGCTTCAACGTATTCACCGGTGATTTCTAGGAGCCGCAACGCTTCTTAACCCGGGAGTCCATGAAGGAAACGAAGAAAGGACCAGGGATCTAGTACGGAAGGGCTGCGTGGAGAAGTTCCATCTTTCAGGCTGGCGCTAGCTGGCCTACCTAGCAAAGGCAAATGGCTACATGTGCAAACCTCTTAAGCCAAAATAAGAAAGGATTCGCTACCTTCAGCTCAGTCACATTTGGGATTATAATCCGGGGTATAACCCCAAAGCCGAAACCCTATGCGCTGAGCTGAGCCAGGAAGCTCGAAGGTCAATCCAGATGAATGCAAGCCTGTAAAATTCGTCCGAAACTGTGAGCCTGAAGCCTAAGCCGAAAGTAAGCTGGGGCGGGGGGATCACGAACTTCGCCTTCAAGCAACCCTAGGCCCTAAACGCTAAACCCCGAACCCTAAACCCTAAACCCTAACCCCTAAACCCCTAAACCCCAAACCCTAAACCCTAAACCCTAGACCCGAGACCCTAGACCCTACCCCTTCAGGAGATCGAGACCACTTGCATCACGGACACCCTGACACGTTGCGGCTGCCAGGCGGAGACGCTGCGATCTTGACATCCTCAATTTTGTCACATTTTGTGGTGGGTTTTAGGGTTTAGGGTTTAGGGTTTAGGGTTTGGGGTTTAGGGTTTAGGGTTTAGGGTTTAGGGGGTAGTTCTCTAAATTAGGGTCCCTTTGGAGTCCCTTTAGGGTGTCGCACTACATATAGGGCCCCCCAAAAAGGGACCCCCAAGTTAGAGAACTTAAGCCGCAAGCCCTTCGTCCCGGGACTTTGGCCTGACCGGGGCCAAGCTAGGACCCCAAACTTGAGTCGAACCCGAAGGCTTCAAGCCTTCAGTCGATCCTTGCAAAGCCCTAAACCCTAACCCCTAAGACCTAAACCCTTAACCCCTAAGACCTAAACCCTAAACCCTAAACCCTAAACCCTAAACCCTAAACCCTAAACCCTAAACCCTAAACCCTAAACCCTAAACCCTAAACCCTAAACCCTAAACCCTAAACCCTAAACCCTAAACCCGATCCCGGGACCCTAAGCCTTAAGCCTTGAAACCCTAGACCCATCACCTGGTCGAAATTTGCGAAGGCCCTTTTTGCTGGGGTGGTTGGGTCGCTCTTGTACTACGGCCACTGATATCCAGCCAGGAGCCTCAGTAGCACCCTTATTTCCTTTTAGGAGGCTGGGGTTCTTCGAAGCAAGAGCCCGAAAAATATGCTAACAAGGGCGTTCTTCGTATCCCGGAGCCCTGAAGCCTAGACGTCCCTCGGATACTGGGGAATCCAACTTAGGATGCGCCAAAGGGTTTATCGGGTTTAGGGTCCACGGTGTACCCCTGCAGGCCCGTAGCTTTCAACCAGAGATCGGATAGTACTATGGGGAATAGCGAATTCATCCCTACTCTCTTGATAAAGTTGCTTTGAGTCAAGTGAAAGACAGGGCTTCAGCTTAGGCGCTAGTCTTCATAAGAATGGCCCGCAGATGGTAGCATCATGGCCCCCTGGGTTTTGACAAATGGGCGTTTGCGGTTTCAGGGTTGGCGGTTTAGGGTTTAGGGTTTAGGGTTTAGGGTTTAGGGTTTGGGGTTTGGGGTTTGGGGTTTGGGGTTTAGGGTTTGGGGTTTCGGTGCCTGGCAGGTGACGGTGGCCAGCGTGATGCCGGGAAAGCTGCAGGCTGGATGACGACCGCAGCGGTTTCTTGTTTATGAGTACCACCAAGCTCGATTGTTTAAGAATCCCCAACAAACAATAACAGCGTTCTTGAGAAAATAGTAGTTGCAGGGTACCTTTTGGGAAGTGCATGGTACTTCTTAAATAGATATACGTGTACGTATAAAATGTACTTATAGCCTGATTAGAGCTTACAAGTGGGTTATAAGTACAGTTGTAATTGGTTAACAAGTACCATGAACCTCCAAGTAGCCCTAAACCCTAAACCCTAAACCCTAAACCCTAAACCCTAAACCCTAAACCCTAAACCCTAAACCCCCTTTTACGGAGCTGTTAGTATAAGGTGGAACATCCCAAGGTACCTTCTCCAAAATGGCTCCCCCCAAACCCCCCCCCTTCGGGGACTTGGCCTGCGCCCTCGGAGCGCCCGTTTTAGGGTTTAGGGTTTAGGGTTTCGGGTTTAGGGTTTAGGGTTTAGGGTTTAGGGTTCCCGAAAGTGTTGCTTAGGCGCTGCGCTGAGGAGAGAATGACCTCTGACTCATGTATCTCCCAGCCCAAAGCCCTAAACCCTAAATCCCAAACCCTCAACCCTAAACCCTCAACCCTAAACCCCAGCCCTAAACCCTAGCCCTAAACCCTAGCCCTAAACCCTAAACCCAAGGATGCCCCCATTCAACCCTAAACTGTAGAAGACATGGTAAGGCGAGGTATCGTCCCGAGCCTCAACACCTAAACCTTAGAACATCCCTGTAAGGCCTCTCAACATGAACTTACTGGCTCAAAACCCAACTCTTCAACTTTGGGGCTTCTTATAAGGTCGTTTATTCTGAAAGTTTCAACTTTTATTTCCTTGGGTTTTGGGCCAGTAAGTTAAACCCAGACCCCCAAGCCCTTCTTGCTTTCCCTTCGCACCGGGGACTCCTGCGGCCGCAGGTGAAGATGTCGAGGGGTATCAACGCTGCAGCCCCGGTCTTCGATAAACGTTGCCTTCAAGTAGCCTAAACCCTGGAAAGCCTCTAGCCCTAAACCCTGCAACCCTAGAACCCTAAACCCTATAACAGTCTCTACCAGGGAGCTACTCCTTCCCTTCATTACACAGTACCGTACCAGTACCTGTTGCAGCAGCTGCTAAGAAGGAATGTGGAATCTTAAACCTTGCAAGTAGGTTGCAGGTTCTTCGAACAACCCTTGCTCGATGCTTCGTGCAAAATGCTGTGTGACTTGGGGGAGTCTGAGGTTTATGGCTTGGTTGCGTGGCGTTTTTTGGTTTGGGGTTGTGTCGCATTCGAGTGCTTGGTCTTTGTGGTGTCCTGTCGGGAGAGAGGTTTGTCTGGTGTAGAGTAGTTCGAAAAAGCGAGTGTTTCTAAGAGTACGAGTTGGGAAGAGAGGCAACGACTGTGCTTAACCCTCCACAGCCCTCACAACACAACGTACTGAATCCAAGTGCTTGACGCCCAAGGCGCATTAAGTCGGGTACCTCGGGACAATACACACACAGGGACAGAGTTGACAGAGACACAGACAGAGACGGAGACGGACACTTGCAAAGAAATTGCAAAGAACATGTATGCCTGCAGGCACGCACGCATTCACACACGCAAGCATGCACGCATACGCGCGGCCCAGATCGTGGCAGACTGCGCCATCGAGGACTGCAAAGGCAGCCCACACGGAGTGCTGAAACTCTACAAACGTTTTGGGTTGGGGCTGAGAATTTGGGCGGCTTACAGAAGGCTAAGACAGATTGTGGGAAGCTTGTAGAGTTTCAGGACTTCATAGCGCCTAGGGATGACTCGAGATTGACCCTTAACCCTCAACCTTTATCCCGTTTTAATTTGTATGCATATATGTATGCATGTATGTATGTATGTATGTACATTGCGTATACTGTATGTTGTATTATTGTAGATTGTGCATGTTAAGTATCCATATGTATATATGTATATATGTATATATGTATATATGTATATATGTATATATGTATATATGTATATATGTATATATGTATATATGCATATATGTATATATGTATATATGTGTATATGTATATATGTATATATGTATACATGTATACATATGTACGTGTATATATAATATATGTATGTATGTATATATATATGTATATATATATATATTGTACTCTATCATACATTAGGACTCCGGATTGCCTTGCTTCTGGCAGGTATGGAGTGGGATGCCATCGCACTGCCCGGAGGCCGGCGAAAGGAGACACGTGGGGAGCGGGGGCTTGTGTTGGGTTAGGCGCTGAGACCCTAAACCCTAAACCCTGAACCCTGAACCCTAAACCCTAAACCCTAAACCGGCCAACCCCTGAAGCTCTTACTGGTTTTCTGAGGTTTAGGGCGAGCGCGTCCCAGGAAAGAGTGTGATGGAACGCACTGCGCCATGTGAAGGTGAGGAAAGAATCCTCAGCCCGAAACTCTACACCCCAAACGGCCCTAAACTTGACTTGGAGGTTCATGGGCTCTTTTTACCCCTTATCGCCTACTTAGAGGACATAGGGGGCTTAACAGTTAGAATTGGGCTGAACCGATTAGTAAGCCCTACACAAACCATACCCATGCGAGGATAGGCTCTACAACTAGGTCCCCTCCAAGGGTGGTTTCCAAACGAATCAGGGTTAAACCTGAAACCCTACACCCTCCAAACCCTAACTCTAGAAATGCCCCTGAAGCCTTGAATCTCGGAAGCCTTCGATCTTTAGCCCCTCAATCCCAGACCCCCCCCAACCCGCAAAGTCCTAAGCCCTTTCAAACTCTCCGGTCCTGGAAAGCCTTTTGTATAACCTTTTCACTTAACCCCCCACAACCGGTAGCCCAAACCTCGACAACCTGAAGCCTCAAAGCCCTAAACCCCTAAAAAGCCCTAAACCTTAAGCCCCCGAAGCCGCCCTTAACCCCCTTAAACCCTCAGCCCCCTCAGCCCCCTAAGCGATTTCCTAAACCTTGAGCCCCCCCAAAACCCTAAGCCCCAAACCCCAAACCCGAAACCCTAAACCCTAGACCCTAAACCTTAAGCCCCCTAAGTTACTCTTCTGCCTGCCAGGCATGCCTGGGGCGGAGCACCTGCGAGACTGCGCCGCCCTGACCGACCTCCTGAAGGAGCCAAGATTAGGGCGATAAGGAGTCAGGGTTTAGGGTTTAGGGTTTAGGGTTTAGGGTTTGGGGTTTGGGGTTTGGGGTTTAGGGTTCGTTTCGGAAAGTAGGGCTTCCTGTTTGGGGTGCAGCAGTTGGGGGGGGCTACATAGAAAAGGGAGCATTCGGGGGGACTCATGGCGCAGGATTGTAGCATTTTGTCCATGTTTTTGCCGTTGAGTTCGAGATATGTATGTAGTACGTGGGATGTGTAATTATAGGACACGTGCGATAGTGTTTGGAATTTCCGACTTAGAGCGTGGCATCTCTATGCTTGCAGAGCCCTGAACCCTCGCGTTGTGCAAAGCAGTACTGTAGCCACCTCAGCACCTGACTTCTACCAAGGGCTTTGATGTAAGGAGACTTGCTTCCCGGCTCTAGTCAACAGACTCCTGCATGCAGAAACGCAAGGTTTGGGGAGTAAAGTTAGGGTTTCATTAGGGCCTTGACAGGTCGTCCCTAAACCCCAAGCCACAAGAACTTATGTCAGGAGCAGTCCAGCAAGGGAAAAGTCACTGCTGCTGTGTGCGCGCGGCCAGACAGCAATTCATTTGCAGTGTTTTTGTTCCTCGTCCTACTGGGTCTACTACTAATTGCCTGAGAACCCCCAACAAATACAAGATAACAATCCTCATATTACTCTTATAAGGAAGAAATTTCAGGGGGGCTCTAAGTCTTAAGCAAACAGTAGTTTAGGGTTCAGTCATTTGAAGGAGATCCGCAGTATTGTGCGGCTTGTGGACTTATCGTTTAGGGTTTAGGGTTTAGGGTTTAGGGTTTAGGGTTTAGGGTTTAGGGTTTAGGGTTTAGGGTTTAGGGTTTAGGGTTTAGGGTTTAGGGTTTAGGTAAGGGCACTGGGCTCCCTTGGTCGGATCCCCCTCCTCCTCGATGACCTCAAGCCCTAGACCAGGACTCCTCAAGCAGTTTAGGGTCTAGGGTTTCGGGTCTTAGGGTCTAGGGTTTATAGGGTCTAGGGTTTATTTGGGTTTAGGGCTGCTTCCTGCAGCCAAGAAAGCCCCCATTTTTCGCAAGGTTCCCCTTGCGCTGCAGGTCGCCAGCAGTCGTGTTCGGCACACATGGCTTACTCCCTGAGAAATCCACGCCGGGCGCCCAGGCACGTCGCTGGGTCCTTACATGCCGTTCCGGGGTTCCCCTGTTGGGCTTCCCATGTTCAACTCTGGGAACATTAGGGTTTAGGGTTTAGGGTTTAGGGTTTAGGGTTTAGGGTTTAGGGTTTAGGGTTTAGGGTTTGGGCCTTACGCCCTTCGCCCCTTCCGTGAAAAGGTTCTTGGGGGTGGTGATGCGGGGGTCTTCCAGTTGCAGGTGCAAGGGTCTGTGTAGGGTTTGGCATGTGGGGGGGTGGGGGGGGGGGGGGGGTTCTCTAAATTGTGGGGGGGGTTTCTTTGGAGGTTCCGTCTAATTAAACAATGTGCAGCCTTCCATCAAAGTAACCATAGGGAACATAACCCTTAATCATGTATAGGACATAGGAGAACTGCCGTTGCAGGGTTAACGGTCTCTACGTCGACGCTTGTGCTCGGACTTTGTTCTTCACTTTCTCCGCGAATAGATTCCGGGTCCACTTGCATGTTTTACCATAGAATTAGGTACCCAAATGCCCTGTTCAGCAGATTCTGGATCCATTTGTAGTAGGTACCCAGAAGTTCCAGAACCGTACTACAAAAACGCCCCTCTCTTTAATTCAAAACAACCGTAAACCCTAAACCCTAAACCCTAAACCCTAAACCTTGAACCCTGAACCCTGAACCCTGAACCCTGAACCCTAAACCCTAAACCCTGAACGCTAAACCCTGAGCCCTGAACCCTGAACCCTGAACCCTGAACCCTAAACCCTAAACCCTAAACCCTAAACCATATACCCTATACCCTAAACCCTAAACCCTAAACCCTGAACCCTACCTAAACCCGAAGTAAACCTAAAGCACTTACCCCCCCGAGGTGCTATCCCAAGTTCAAGGATGTGGTCGGGGCAGGATGGCAGGATGCTCAAGCCGCCAGGGGACCCAGGGTTTAGGGTTTAGGGTTTAGAGTTTAGGGTTTAGGGATTTCAGGGCTTTTGTTGGGTTTGGGGTTGGGGTTTAATGCTTTTCGGGCTTTAGGGTTGGGCTTTAGGGGCCTTGATCCCGGAAACGAGATATTCAGAACCTGCAAGAAGCCAGCACTTTGGCGGTTTTCGGGCTTTGGAGGGTCTTGGGGCCTTGGGGTTTTTGGATTCGGGCTTAGGGTTTACAAGTTTTGCTTCGGGCATGAGGGCTCTGGGGGCCTTGGGGTTGTAGGTTTCAGGCCTTTGGGTCTTTAGGTCAAAGGGACCCTTGTGAGGGACCTTACAGGTTATTCAGAGGTTATTTGGGGGCTACTCAAGTTTACAGGGAATAAGGCATATATAGGGGTTATATAAGGGGAATAAGAATAAGCGTCTCTTCTAGGGGTCCCTCCTTGTGCCCCTCGAGTTTCGGTGCTGCTGATGTCTAGGCGCTTGCAACTTCCAAGGTGATGGACGGCCACATCATCACTAGCCAAGGCCCTGGAACCAGCATCCAGTTCGCGCTGCGCCTGTGGCAGCAAGAGAGGTCCACGAGGGGGTTTAGGGTTTAGGGTTTAGGTTTAGGGTTTAGGGATTAGCGTTCAGCATCTCAAGTTCGAGCATTTACTAGGCCAGCAGTGTGTGTAGGCAACGGAAAAAAACCCACCCACCCAGAGAATCCCAAAACATTAAGAAAATAAAAAGTTTACATTTCTCATCAGCAAGCCCTGTCCTCCAACCTCACTCTGTCATGGACCATCCTACCCACGAACCATTTCATCGGCCCCCATAGAGGGGCGGGACTTGAAATCCTGAAACCAATGAAGGCTCGGTTTTGGTCAAAAATCCAGAAAACGAGAGGCCACCCAGAACCGTCGATTTCAGTACTAAAAAATCGCATTTTTAACTGGGACCCGGGCCGATCCTGGGGTCCCCCTCATTTGGGGTGTTTTTGGAGGCAAACTTTCCCTCTCAAGGGGGGGTTTGAGCCAAGGCCGCGCGCGGGCCAGGACAAGGCCAGACCCTTGAGTGCCCAACAGGGCCGGTCAATCTGGGGCCAAAACCAAGTCCAAGGCCGCCCGCGCGCGGGCCAGGACAAGGCCAGACCCTTGAGTGCCCAACAGGGCCGGTCAATCTGGAAGGGCCAAAACCAAGGCCAAGGCCGCCCGCGCGCGGGCCAGGACAAGGCCAGACCCTTGAGTGCCCAACAGGGCTGGTCAATCTGGAAGGGCGGCCAAGGCCGCCCGCGCGCGGGCCAGGACAAGGCCAGACCCTTGAGTGGAAGGGCCAAAACCAAGGCCAAGGCCGCCCGCGCGCGGGTTAGGACAAGACCAGACCCTTGAGTGCCCAACAGGGCCGGTCAATCTGGATCGGCCAAAACCAAGGCCAAGGCCGCCCGCGCGCGGGCCAGGACAATTGAGTGCCCAACAGGGCCGGTCAATCTGGAAAGGCCAAAACCAAGGCCAAGGCCGCCCGCGCGCGGGCCAGGACAAGGCCAGACCCTTGAGTGCCCAACAGGGCCGGTCAATCTGGAAGGGCCAAAACCAAGGCCAAGGCCGCCCGCGCGCGGGCCAGGACAAGGCCAGACCCTTGAGTGCCCAACAGGGCCGGTCAATCTGGAAGGGCCAAAACCAAGGCCAAGGCCGCCCGCGCGCGGGCCAGGACAAGGCCAGACCCTTGAGTGCCCAACAGGGCCGGTCAATCTGGAAGGGCCAAAACCAAGGCCAAGGCCGCCCGCGCGCGGGCCAGGACAAGGCCAGACCCTTGAGTGCCCAACAGGGCCGGTCAATCTGGAAGGGCCAAAACCAAGGCCAAGGCCGCCCGCGCGCGGGCCAGGACAAGGCCAGACCCTTGAGTGCCCAACAGGGCCGGTCAATCTGGAAGGGCCAAAACCAAGGCCAAGGCCGCCCGCGCGGGGGCCAGGACAAGGCCGGACCCTTGCGTGCCCAACAGGGCCGGTCAATCTGGAAGGGCCAAAACCAAGGCCAAGGCCGCCCGCGCGGGGGCCAGGACAAGGCCGGACCCTTGCGTGCCCAACAGGGCCGGTCAATCTGGAAGGGTTTAGGGATTAGCGTTTAGGGTTTAGGGTGGAGAGTCCAACGGCCCCCAACACTGGCCCTAAACCCTAGCCCTAGACTCCCTAAAGCCCCGTAAACCCCCTAGACCCCCGAAAACCCCCCTGAAACCCCCTGAACTCCCTAAACCCTAACAACCCGGTTACTAACAACCCTAAACCCTAAACCCGAATAAACCCTAACTCTACCGCCTAAACCCTAAACCCGAAACCTTAAACCCTAAACCCTAAACCCTAAACCCTAAGACTTGCACAAGGAAGATCGGCGAGAAGCTCTGTGGCAAGGACAAGGCCGAAGAGGTCGCCAAGGCCGGAGGGTTTGGGGTTTAGGGCTTAGGGCTTAGGGCTTAGGGCTTGGGGCTTAGGGCTTAGGGCTTAGGGCTTAGGGCTTAGGGCTTAGGGCTTAGGGCTTAGGGCTTAGGGCTTAGGGCTTAGGGCTTAGGGTTGGCTGTGATAGCTGTGACGTTGCGATGCAGACTAGCTTCGAAAGCTTCGTGCAATGCGAAGGGCAGCCATGGCCCAATTGTGGAGGGCCATGTAACTAACAACTTTCCCTTTCAGAGTTGAGGCTCAAGTCAACTGCCTACCTCAAAGAACTCCTTCCGTCCAGTACTAGGGGGCTAGAGGGAATATAGGGGCCAAACCCCTAAACCCTACAACCTAAACCCTAACCCTAAACGCTAAACCCTAAACCCTAAACCCTAAACCCTAAACCCTAAACCCTAAACCCTAAACCCTAAACCCTAAACCCTAAACCCTAAACCCTAAACCCTAAACCCTAAACCGTTTTCAGAAGTGCGACTTAGGAGTTCCCTACTCCTCAGTCGCCCTCCGGCGCGCAGGGCATGCTCGTGGACTACGTCGTGTGATCAAAGATTAGCTGGCCCAAGGCACAAGAAACTTTGGGCCTAGGGTTTAGGGTTTAGGGTTTAGGGTTTAGGGTTTAGGGTTTAGGGTTTAGGGCCCCAAAAAAGCATCGTTCTGACCCGGGGAGTAGGACAGAAGGGCTACAAGCGCGAGGATATGGTTCAGGGTTCAGGTTTTGCACCCTAAACCATAAACCTGGGGACTGGGGGCTTGGGATTTAGGGTGTACGGGGTCAGCTAGGCTTTTGCAGCTCTGAGCGTTCTAGCATGTAGCCGTTTTATGGTGGCTCTCTTCTGGGTCGAGGTTTAGATCAGATTTGTACAGCTCGGGGGTAATTCATGGTGCTCGAAAGGCTCTTAGCTTCTGACCCAACCCTCGAGGACCCTAAACCCTAAACCGCACACCCTAAACTCTAAAGCCCTAAACCCTAAACCCTAGTTGGGCTAAGCCCTAAACCCTAAACCCAAAACCTACTAAACCCTAAGCCCTAACCCTAAATCCGCTAGGATAGTGTTTAAGAGACACAGACTCGACGGCGAAGAGCCGGCTCTGGTAAAGAAATCGTCCGCTCCGGCTGGGCTCTTCATTCCTTAGAGGTAGGGTTCAGGGTTTAGAATCAGGGTTTAGGGTTTAGGGTTAGGGTTTAGGGTTTCGGGGTTTAGGGGTTCAGTGGTTTAGGGGTTTAGGGGTCTAGGGGTCTAGGGGTCTAGGGGTTTAGGGTTGAGGCCTTGGGGCCTTGAAGCATACCTGCTCACCCAACACTGACGCCTAAGCCCAGCTTTGTAGGGGGTTTGAGCGCCTGCAGGTGTTCGGAGGGCCTAGAAGGATCTCCATTCCTAGTGCATCAATCGTGTATCCTTTGCCTCAACGTCCCAGCCCCAGTGAGCATGGGCTGATCGTATTGATCAGCAAGAATATACGTGTGCGTATATACATATATATTTAGTAATTTTCTGTTTATCCATTTATTAATTTGTATTTATTTATTTTTATATTTAATACATATGTATCATATGTACATTTACGTAGTGTATATATACATTGTATATACACACGCATACGTGTATGTATATATATATATATATGTATAGATATGTACATATACAGAGAGACTGTGTGTGTGTAAACAAATACGTGATAATATGACGTTTTCTGTGTATATATATATATGCATGTGAATGTGTACAAATACTATATGCACAAAAAGACTATATACAAAACCTGTATACATATACAGATATATACACATACACATGCACGAGTGAACTTTAAGGGTATGTTCGTCTCTCCTTTTTTTCGATGCGTCTATTCCATGTCAATGTGTGTCTGTACCAGCGTGGCCCAAACCTTCCCATCGACCTCCATTGACTTGCCTAAGCCCGAAGCCCTCAAATCTGAACCTCAGATGATGCCCAGTCTGGTTCTTACGGATACCCTAAACCCTAAACCCTAAACCCTAAACCCTACACCCTACACCCTAAACCCTAAACCCTAAACCCTAAACCCTAAACCCTAAACCAACTCTCAAGTAGGAAGCCCCTGCCAAACTCCGAAGGTTTGGGGCTTTGGGTTTACCCGACTCTGAAGTCCCAAAACGCCTGCAGGGTTTGGGGATTTGGAAGTTCAGTGTTCAAGGTGCAGGGTTTGGGTTTAGGGTTTTGGGGTTGAGGGTGGAGGGCTCGAGGCAGGACTTCGAAGTGGCTTGCCCAACCTCCTACCTGTAAGCTCACCAAAACCACACACAACCAAGCCACCCAAACCATGTGCCCACGCCTTGCTCGCCCCAACACGCAGCAGAAGGAAGGCCCCGGTCCAAACGTGTGGCGACAAGCTCCAACTTCCCTTTGGGCACAGGGGTCGGGATGAAGATGAAGAGGGCAAAGGGGCACCCACCCAGGCCAATTCACAAAGAGTGTAGCCGGCACTTGCCGCAGCACAGGAGCACAAAAGGGAGGCGCGCAGAGAACAACGACCCACCATCCCCTTGAGAGCACGACACGATCTCCGAATGCACGGGACAGCGCAGCCCAAGACAGACGCGGGGCGAAGAGTCCGGAGCTCCCAGCCGCTGATATCTGCCCAACTCATCCCATCCTGAACTCTGTTTTGCAGCTATTCAGAGCCTAAGCTTGGTTCGGTTTCAGCACAAAGCCTACGCCCTAAACCCTAAACCCTAAACCCTAAACCCTAAACCGCCCAAACCCTAAACCCGAAACCCTAAACCTTAAACCCTAAAAAACGAAAGTCAAGGATAGCTTTCGGCCGAAAGCCATCCTTGACTTTCTTTCGCTACACCCGAAGATGGCAACTTAAAACCTTGCAAGCCCCACAAATGCCGAGCTTCAACCTGAGGGTTTGGGGTTTAGGGGTTTGGGGTTTAGGGTTTAGGGTTTAGGGGTTAGGGTTTAGGGTTTAGGGTTTAGGGTTTAGAGTTTAGAGTTTAGAGTTTAGGGTTTGTAAAGCAAGGCCCGGATTTCGCCATGCGGCCGCGCGGGATGGTGGCTCTTGTGCCAAGGCGACCTTGATGCCATCCTGTCTCCCAAACTCTTAGGGTTTAGGGTTTAGGGTTTAGGGTTCAGGGTTCAGGGTTCAGGGTTCAGGGTTCAGGGTTCAGGGTTCCTAGACTTCCGAATTAACCTCCCTAAACCCTATACCTCCTAAAACTGTTTTTACACTTCCTAAACTTTCTTAAGCTTATACATATATGCTTTTCTGTACATATGTATACACAATATGAACCCTGAGCTTCCTAAACTTCCTAAACTTCCTAAACTTCCTAGACTTCCCAAACTTCCTAAACTTCCTAAACTTACTAAACTTCCTAAACTTACTAAACTTCCTAAACTTGTAGGTTCGGGGATGCAGGGTTGCATCTTGAAGCCCCAAGCCCCAAGCCTCAACGCTGACTTTGTGTGTTTTGGGCAGTGTTTGCTGAGTTCTGTGCATCGTTTCGTGGCGCTGTTCAGGGTTTAGGGTTTAGGGTTTAGGGTTTAGGGTTTAGGGTTTAGGGTTTAGGGTTTAGGGTTTAGGGCTACAAGACACCAGGAGACTGCTTCGGCAGCCATGACCTTCTACATGTATCGCGCAGGGGGGCTCTGGCAAGTCGCGAGTCGAAGGCTTTGTGTGTTCTTTGGTATTCAGTTTAGGGTTTAGGGTTTAGGGTTTAGGGTTTAGGGTTTAGGGTTTAGGGTTTAGGGTTTAGGGTTTAGGGTTTAGGGTTTAGGGTTTAGGGAAAGTTTAGGGTTTAGGGTTTAGGGTTTAGGGTTTAGGGTTTAGGGTTTAGGGTTTAGGGTTTAGGGCCCCCTAGTTCTTAGTAGGGAGTGAGGGACTGAGGGCCCTTAAAGGATTTTGAAGTGCCTTACGTCCCTCATTCCTACTAAGCACCAGCCAGCTGAACCCTAAACCCGAAACCCTCAACCTAGCGCGTAGTCAAGGGACACTAGTGGTATCGGCCCGCCGTCCATCACGAACATCCAGCCTTCGGATCTTAAGGCTTCAGCCGTAGCAACAGATGACCTGCCACACATCGTTTCATGACAAGCCTTGCCGAGTTTTCGCGTTGGGCTTAGGGCGCTTAGGGCTTACACCCTAAATTAAAGTTTCTGGGCTGGGTCACCTACCAAGCTAGAGAACACCAAACTTCTTAACCCAACATTCCCAGAACACTCAAAACTCCAGCCCTCAAAGATTCCCTGAGCCCTCAGAGAAACCCTAAGCCAAAACCCTGAGACCCTAAAACTCTGAGACCCTAAAACCCTAAAAGCCCTGGAACCCCAAAACCCCAAGCCCAAAACCCTAAAGCCCCAAAACCCTACACCCTAAGACCCTAAAACGCTAGAGCCTTAAAACCCTAAGCCCTAAACCCTAAACCCCAAAAATAAAACCCAACAACCCGAAAACCCTAAAACCCCAAATCCCTAAACCATAAAACCCCAAAACCCTAAAGCCCTACAACCCCAAACCCCTAAACCCCGAAAACCGCAAACCCCTAAACCCTGAACCCTGAAACCCTAAACCCTAAGCCCAGAGCGCTCGAACACTTCGGGTGCTTTAACGTTAAAAATCCCTAAAAACCCTACAAACCCTACAATCCCTAAATCCCTAAACACTAAACCCTAAACCCTCAACCCTAAAGGCCTAAACCCTAAACCCTAAACCCTAGGCCCGGATGACTAGAACATTTAGGGTGGTTTTTTTACGTTGACAAACCCTAAATTTCCCTAAGCCCTAAACCCTAAACTGCCCTAATCCCTAAACCCTAAACCCTAAACCCGAAACCCTAAACCCTAAACCCGAAACCCTAAACCCTAAACCCTAAACCCTAAACCCTAAACCCTAAACCCTAAACTAAACCCTAAACCCGAAACCCCAGGCCCAGAGTGACCAGAACTATCCACCGGAGAAACCCTAAACCCTAAACTAAACCCTAAACCCGAAACCCCAGGCCCAGAGTGACCAGAACTATCCACCGGAGAACTGCGACCTGGCTAGCGCCGCTGGGGCCGGGAGCCCGCTTTTAAGGGACTGGGTTCTCTTAAGGGATTTAAGGGGGGGGGGGGGGGGGGGGCCGAGGCGGTGGTTGGGTTCAGGGTTTTAGAGTTTAGGTTTCAGGGATTAGGGTTTAAGGTTAATTAGGTTTATTTGGGGTTTAGGGTCTAGGGTTTAGGGTTTAGCGAGCTTTTAGGGCGCGCAGCTTGTAGGGTTGAGGGTCGAGGGTTTCGTGCTTGCAGCTTTTCAGCTGAACATGTTCGGGTGGGTGGGCGCTGAGGGGGGGGCAGATTCCAATCGTCTAGCCATTATTTTCGATGCACGCACCTTGAGTTACCTGAGCTGCCTGAGCCCTAAATACCCTAAGTAACTAAGCCAGTGCACCCTATACGGTTTCCGTCTTGAACAGACTTTGCTGTGAAGGCATGTTAGTTAGGACTTATGCTGCTCTGGTCTTGAGACGAATTGTCTGATTTCAGCTTTCCGACGCTTCCTTCCTAGATCGCACCACAGG